GAGACCTAGGATAACAGGTCGGTCCCCTATGTGATCCTACAATGTTCTGCCTTGCCCTACCCTACTCGTTCTGACGTCATGTTATTGAGTAGAACTTAATGCATTCACCTACCCTTTCAGAACCATTACCTTAACAGCAGGTCATCTATATATCTGTGCTCAGTATACAGACAGTATTAAGGCTGATGATAGGAAATGTTATAAAAGTCTTCAAAAGCAGGTATTGGAAATCTGAAACCAAAACTGAAAATGCTGGAAATAACATGTCTCGCAGCTTCTGTGGCAGGAGTGACAAAGTTAGCGTTTCAGATTGATGACCTTAAGAACTGGAAAAAGATTGAGCTGTAATGAACTTTAAGCAAGTGCAAGGATGGGAAATGGGAAACAGAAAAAAAAAATGTCTCTGATAAAGTGGAAAGCAGAAAAATTAGAAAAAGGTTTGTGGCACCTTGAATGGTACTTAGCTCATTGTGCTGTTGATGATTCTGCCATTGACATCTCATTGAGACATCTCTTTGGCTTTATTTGTTCTATTAAAACTCTATTTGGGCCTTGCATCAACAACATCTTTATCATTTAATCCTTCCTTCCTTCCTTTTTGACTTTTTCAAACCAAACCCCACTTTCAGTTACTTAATACCCGTGACATGTCAAACATTTTCCAGTTCTGATGAGAGATCATTATGTTGAAACATTAATTCTATTCTCTAACCACAGACTTGCTAAGTACTTCCAATATTTTCTGTTTTGTCACTGAAGTTATCCTCATATAATAGGAGGCTGTACTATTTTGAAATCAAAGTATATATTAATTCACATTGTTGTGTTGTTGAAAAGTTTTTATTTGATGGACTTTAGTCAAATTTACGAAATTGCATTCAGTTATATTTTCTTCTGTAGGTTGTATTGCTGGGATTGAAAGGTTCTGTCCTATATTTTATCTTTTCCAACATTAGATCTATTGGTAGATTGTTGGACTGTTGGATGATTTTTGGCCCTGAATCCAAAGTTCAAATTAATCTTAATGTCATTGTTTTTTCAGAAAGAAAAACTAGTCATATAGCATCGTATCAATGGTGCTTCTGTAACTGGTTCCAATATATGCATTACCAGTCTTGACCCAGTGTTCCAGAAACTGCTTTTGTATAAGTATATTATTTGCATTGGCCACTAGCATCATTAGTTAAACAATAATCGAATGTGCATTGCACTTTGGCATATTGAACCAAATAGATTATATGAAAGCTGACAGTGAAGGTCAAGTAGCTCTGAGCCTGTTGCTAGTTTGACAAATTAATGCTCTAAAGTCAATTAATGTCACTGCAGTACTAATTTTTTTTTAGTTTTGACTGATTTCTGTAGATGCTCTGTTTAACCATGGTTTGTCACTACCTTACTTTGATCTTGCAGTATCAAAGTATTTCCAATCACACTCAGCTTTGTATTTTGACACAGCAGATCACATTCTGCACTGTGCTCTTCAGAAAATTTCAGTGAATTAGAAACCTTGACAATAAATCCTTGCCACTCTGCATCTTAAAATATCATTCTTGCTAATGTACTACGTCTGTAACCTTAGGCCAGCTCATGGTCATGGTTCACTGTGTCATCATATTATTCACTGTTGCTGGGGATTCTGAATATTTTTCAAATTATTAAGTTGTTGTACTTGTTAAGAAAACAAGAATCTTGGCTGCAACCTAAGCAAAACTGGGAACAATTTATTTGGAAAAAATTGCACTGTGACTTTTTTTCAAACCGTGGTTTCCTCCAGCACAAATTGTTTTCATTTAGTGAAGGTGATTGTCAGTACTATTGTGGGTGACTACTTACCAACTTGTGGTTGTGTTCTCAAATAGTCATTTGTGGTTTCCTCCTTTTCGCGCTGGTTTTGATTTGGAGTTTCCTAGATGACACATCCTGTGGTGTCTTTTGGCGAGCAATCAACTGCTGTTGGTTGGCTGACTCATGTGTTTAATGGATGTGCTGCTTATTACATACCAAAAAATACTGGATTTGATTGAAAAAACAAACTGATCCGGGGATGGTTTATAGGGAGGTTCTCGTCCTGCGTTTCAGCTGACATCACACGCTCCTTTTTTAACCTCACTTGGCTGTTCCTGCATGAGCTAGTGGAAGTACAGGGGTGATTTTAACCCTATCCACCAAGTGGACGCCAAGCAAGTGAGTTTTTCAAATTGCCCAGATCACTTACCTGCTCCCTAACCTCAAGGAGCTAACTGGTCACTGGTAACACTCACTTCTCCTAGAACGTAATAAGGAAATTTGATGTTAATGAGATTAAAATCATTTTTAAAAAAGTGTTGAAATGTGTTACTAATTCGCTGGCATCCATTTTGCTATAGATAAAGGTAAGAGGTGCCCCAAAGCAGTGTCTGAGCAAGGCAGGTAATGTAACAATAGAACGTGGCAGTGGCTGGGGCCCAGTGCAAGCCCGGATGGTGGAAGCATTGGCAAAGGATGATGTCAGCAGCGGTCATCAGCAAAGCGGCGGTCAGCCTGAAGCCTTGCCCGATAGAGATTAACAGCGGTGGTTGGCAACTCAGGCAGGTCTTAGCCCAGTGCGAGAAAGCAAGCCTAGCACAAGGGAAAGTAAGTCGTCTTGGAGAAAGCCCAACTCGGAGTGTCTGCAGGCCCATAGTTTAAGAAAGAACTATATTGTTTGACTTTTCAACTTTTATTTCTTTATTTTTCCACTTTTAAACGAAGAAGACTGTAGTGCTGAACTTTAGAAGTTATGTCTTTATTTTTCTACTTCTGTAACTAAAACTTGTACCTACGTATTTTGTACATGAGATGGCACCATGCATGGTGACATTGTGCACTTTTCACTGTACCCCTGTATCCTATAGTTGAGTACACGTGGCAATAAAACCTAAATCTAAATTGAATCTTATCCACGTTGGTGGGAAGCTCTCTCATCTTGTAGGCTGTCTTCAGTTAATAGGAGGATGGGATGATTCTGGCTGTGGATTTCATGAAAACAAGCCAATTGCTGCTCCATGAAGAACCAAGTGCTCAATTTGAAAAAAAAAGACATTTGCATGAAGATTCACTCTGCATTTCACATTACCAATTGTAATTGTACCTCAGTTTTTCCACTCAAATAAGGAATTTAACTCCTTCAGTATCAATTCATTTTAACCTTGACATTCACCCTATTTTGCAACGTTCTGATCAACAGAGCTCCTCAACCATAATGTCTTTTCTTCTAAATTGTAACTTTTATTCTGAAGGAACATAGGAATGTGCAAAACATAAAAAGGCACATGTGGTAACCTCAGTACCTAAATCTCTTTTTAATTGTCTTTTTAGATTTTAGTCAATTGACTTATTAAATATCTGACCAACTCATACTTCAAATTACTAATGTTACCATCTGTCATTTTCCTGGGTACAACAAAAATAAACATAAGTTTATGATTAAATTGTTATTTTTTACTCAGGACCAAAGAAATGTAGTTTCAAAATTACCTACTTTTGGGAGATAGGTATGTCCCTCCAGATGTGGTAATAATGGGCTGTAAACTGCTTTTCTGATATGGACTGGATTAAGAAATTTTTAAGGCTGCTTTTGGTATTCTGTTTAGAGAAGGCATACTAGAAAGTAAAACAGCTTTGTCTTTCTGTCTCAGAAAAAAACCCTTTTCTTTCCCATAGGGATCTCCAGATGATTTTGGCAAGTTTATAACTCTGCTTTTGGTTGATGCACATGAATCTTGCTCCATTGTCTTCAGGAAAAGTGCTTTGACAAGCTAATGCACTATACAGTACTATTGAAGGAGTTTTTATTCTGTATAATACGTAATTATTGTATAATACGTAACCTCTACATTAGCCAAATTTGCTGTGTACGTTTTGTAAAGATCCATTTTACTTCCTCGTGGTAAGGGTTAAAATAGTGTAATTTTAAACACCAGGGATTATTTTGATGGAAGTATTTAACCTATTTTCCTTATCAATCTGTCACTATGCTAATAAGACCCAGCTGTTTGAAATTCTGGTTTAATTTACTTGTAATGTGATTGATAATTATCAAATTTTAAACTTGTCTGGATCTGCTACAACAGACACTCTACAAGTTTACCATTCAAGCAATGATCAAGCAATGAACTTTTTATGGAACAGTATATGTGGTCTCCACCTACTCCACTAAAAGTGTGATATGCTCAGGAATGTTTCAGCAAGGGTCAAGGCCCTTAGCAGATGGCACACAGTTTCTCAGATGGGAGGCCTTGGAGAGGGAAGTCGACAGGATGAAGGAAGCCCTGTACCCAGAGTAGGAATGGTCCCACCTCCGTCTCCGGTCCCTCTCTCCCGTAGCAGCTGGTGCTGCCCAGCCTAGCCACAAATCCTCCTTTCAAATCATCTACGAGCCAATTGGGATTCTTGGCAAGGTGAATATACCATTCTGTTTCTCCTTGTGACTCCTGAAAGACACTCAATATGTTGAGTAGCACAGCACCCTCTCTTTAAAGGTGAAGTCATCAGAAAAGTTCCCAAATAAATGTTGACAGACTGTTGGCTAAGTCTTGACAAGTCGTCCCAGATATGTTTAAAATCTCCAATAGCAAGCAAACCACGAACAGCAGTGTACCTTCAAATAGCACTCAAAAGTGTCTGCAACATGTAGACCCCCAATCAGCTGGTCATTCTGAGAAGGGGGCTTTAGATAAATCATCAGTCACCAAAATGCTGTGCAGGCTCATTAGTGAGTACTGGGAGGTAATGTAGGTGACAATCACCTGTTAAGTGATGCAGCAGTTGGTTGTTCCTAGCACAAACTCCAATTCCTTTTCTAAAACTGTATCTTAACTTACATGTGGATCAATTTAAGAGCATTTCAATTTAAGAGCACCACCTTGTCCAGCTGGTCATCAGCAGAAAATAAAAGCTGCTTGTATGCTGTTGATGTACTTCTTGTGATTTGTGAAGAGTAAGTCCTATATGTAACTTTTCCCCTCCCCTCTGTGTTCCAGGGTTTGTGCTTTTCACAAGAGGCTTCGTCAATTATGCAAAAGTTCGGAAGGTGACTGCCAAAATCGCCAGTTTGAAAAAGTCCAGGTTCCTTTTCATTTACTGATGGTAACAAATCATATCTGTTCAATGTCCAGTTACACTGTATGCTGGATCATTCATTTCTATATCATGAATGATTCTGTTATTGTCTGCCACCTTAATTTTTAAAATTAAACAAACATAAAAGCTGGATTTAGAGAGGTAGGAGAATGAAAGATTTATTGCATTAAGGTGGCTCAGCAGTACTGTCAGTATGTCATCCTTTCTTTTGTTAACAGAGGAAATAATTAGCAGATTCAATATTGCCCTCAACCTTTGACCTTGGGCACAATTGAAGATTGTCACTTAAAGCTGTAATCTTTCAACTATTGACGGAGGTTTGATATTTTTATGGGGTCAGGTTAACTCGAAAGACTTGTAAAAATGGCAGATGGCTCCTGGATGAGTAGATCTAGCTCCCACTTCAGTAGATCCTATTATTATTGGTATGGACTTGGAGGCTGTAGTATAATGGGAAATCTGATCATTTTATTACATTGTCTTCCCAGCTGTTGTTCAATAATGACTGCAGACGATTGAACATGTAGGAAGTGCAATATGCAGTAGGGATGAGGAGGTATCATCCAGGTGGGGCCATTTGTAATTAGTGCTCAGATTAACAATTTTTGCACTACTAGGGGCCTTAATCTGCAATATGGGAATTAGGATATTAAGGACGAATCATAAACATTATTGAAGAACTTTTAGTGTTGTATAAGTATCACGGCCTGATGTAATTTGAATCCCTTTCTTTAAATATGAAAAAAGGCTGCATCTTTCAGATACAGCAAAATAACAGGAGATACCAAGTACTTGACAGGTTATCTGGTGTGTTTGGAAAAAAGCCATTATCCTTGTATTCCTACAGTTTGGATAGACTTTCTTCTTGACATTTCCTTTTATGGTTTTTATTAGAACTGAGCCCATAATGAATGCTTGGCTAAGTTTCAAAAACATTTATCTCAGCATGGTGCAGTGTTTTCAGTTTATTGATAGTTGGAAAAAATAATTAAAGGATTAACTGTGATAAACATTTGTTTTTACAACAAGCAGTTTTCTTTTTTGAAAGGGCTTTATGAATGATAGCTATTTCAGTATCATGTGTGTGTGAATGAGAACTGTCTTAATTGTTAGAAGATGATTCCATCTCTACATAGATCCTAAGGTATGCCCACAATAGATACTGAGTAAGTAACTATGAAGATAGCATGAAGGAATGAGGGGAAGAAGGGAAGTGAAGGTGGCATGCAGGACATGTGGGGCGTGTGAGGGTACAGGGGCTTAGAGTTGGCATGTACGGGGATTTGAAGTGTCGGCATACAGAGATTTTGTGGTCGGTAGTGGTTATGGCATATGGAGGTTGCATTAGGAGTATGAGGGACATGGGGCAGGTGGGAGATCTAGAGTGTCCAAGACTCAGAAAACTGAGGTGGACCTTCTAACAAGCCCAAGTTGCCCTCTCTTGCCTCTTTCAAACTGCCCCTGAAAGTATAGGCCCTTGCTTCAACCAACACATAATTTATGGGGATGCTTTTAAAGAAGATAGGTCTGTTGAGTGGAAAAATTTCTGATGCTAACTCTTCGTCCCAATGGGAAAAATCTGACTCTTAATTGCTGCTCGTTTTTCAAGCACTCTCTTTCTTTTCCTTTTTATATTCCTATAGTTATACCGATGTGTATTCGCAACAGTGACAGGTTTCTCTATCCAATTTTCTGCCTAGGTATGTCCCAATCTGTTTTATAAGTTTGGATATCCAGTGACTACTGAAATAAAAACAGAAAGTACTAGAAATACTCAGCTGGCAAGTCAGCATCTACGGAGAGAGAAACAGAGAATCTTAAAGCTGAAATCAAAATATCACACTTTTAGTGGAGTGGGTAGAGACCACATATACTGTTCCATAAAAGGTTCAGCTGGGTTATTGATGGAGCAGCAAGACCAAATCCAAGTCCACAACATGACCCTGTGAAAGCTGATTTTTCTGGGTTAATTTTTTCAGGAGCCAGTCAATTAAGAGTGAAACTCTGAGAGTGGTTTCTATTTAGAGCAGGAGGAATGATGAGAACCCCAGATCAATATTAAATCAAACGCAGTAGCACACAGTGTCAAAACTATGCGATGTCGACAATAAATCTGCAGAGGCAAAGGGAGGAAGGAGATGGATATTGATGTCTCTTCAAAGGGAAGAAATCTAACCATCCCCCCTTGCCATTCAGTTATTTAATGCTTTATGTCAACATCTTGAAACTGAAATGGACTATTCATTTATGTGCAGTGACTACAAGAACAGGTTACAGTCTAACAGTGAGTAACTGACCTCCCGATTTCCCAAAGCCTGCCCACCGCCTACAAATCACTGGAATAATCTCCACTTGCCTGGATATGTGCACCTCCAACAACATTCAAAAAGCTTGACATCCAGGATAAAATAGCCCATCTGAGTGGCACCCACATCCACCAGCTTAAAAAATAACTCTCTCTGCCACCAGTGCAAAGTAGCAGCAATTTGTACCCTCTACAAGATGCTCTACAGCAATCCACCAAATCTCTTTCAACAGTACCTTATAAATTTATGCTCTCCAACACTTAGTAGGACCAGGCAATAGATGCAAGGGAACACCAACCACTGCAAGTTCCCCTCCAAGCTACATACCATCCTGACTTGGGACTGTACCACTGTTCCTTTACTGTTATCAGGTCAAAATCATGGAACTCACTTCCTAACAGCAATAGTAGGTATTCCTGCTCTACAAAGACTGCAGTAATCTAGCTCACCACCACCAATTTAGGAATGGGCAATAAATGCTGGCAATAGCAATCAATGCCCACATTCCATGAAGTACTTGAACGTAAACAAAATAATAAATAAAGGCTGTAAGGTCTGCCTCATGATTTACACATATGTCGCTTTGGGAGATGGAGGAACCTATTGAGGTCACAGGGGCAGCATTTCTTTCCAGATGATTGACAGGAGGAGGCTCATCCATGCTCACTCACACCTTGTTTGCCAGGGGTTGCATGTCACTCCTGGGAGGGGAGAGATGGACAGGGATGGTGAAGTTGGGAACTAAGGCACTGGCAGGTCGTGCCCATTCCCAGTAGCATGTAGGATTAACTCCTGTACGTAGTAGCTGTATACTATGGCTGATCAACTGAATGCTAGTTTCCCTCTTTATAATGCTCCAATTATTGCAGATCAAGCACTATATAACTGCCATTGTGCACTAGAGTTCCTTAACGTGCCATGTTGCTGACATAGCATGCAGCCAATGCTGTTTTATAAGTTCCAACCTTTTCATACAGAGCTGAACTGAAGCTGTTTACTGTACTGCTGAAAGAGCCTCTGCAGGAGGAAGCTGTCAACTTAAACTATAAAATAATTATCATTAATTTGTCAAAAACATCTGCAGTCTTAGTATTACGGTAAGAGTAGAAGTATAACCTTCTTTGAAATCTACTGTAATTCCGTACATTTACATTGTTCTAAATTTGATATTCATTTAATTTCTTTTTAAAGAAGTGAGCACATATTTAACAAACATTACATTTCAGAACTCTCTGTCAGAGATATAGAACAGATGGAAGAATCAATACCACCATTTCAGTCAAAACTAAACTGCCTCCGGCCTTGTGTGTTTATACTCTAGGCCGCAAAAATATCTTTTCATACAATGTGATCTTCTTCTAATATTCAATTAATTTCATGTTGAGTATATGGCAGAGATGTTAGCATTTGTGATACAACTAAAACTTCTTTTCATTCATAAAATTAAAAGTAATCAAAAGAAAATCTATTAATTCATTATTGTACTTGTGCAATTGCTTGGTATATGTTCACATTCCATTGGAAGGCTAGCTGATAAGGTGAACTGTCACGGTGGCCTATCATTTCCTGAATTTGGGTTTGAATCACATTCATGTTAGCTGTCAGGATACTGTATAAAATGAGTATGTGTTGTCTCCAATTCACCCAGGCCAAAATCTCATCACTAAATGGTACTCAACTGTTACTCTCACTTCAAGAGTTCACTTCACTTAGGGAGTTCTATTAAGATCTATATTTAGTCAGGATAGTTTCAACTCACTTGACATCCAAGCCTGTAGAAATCAATGCTCAATGTCTTCCTGACACAACTCCAATGAGGATGGTTTTAACTTATTTTTTCTGCAATTCAAACTAATTCTCACATCTAACTGGACTCCTGTGTAAAGCAACCGTCATCTTTTTTAAAGGATGATTTAAATGCATTGGAAGCAGTTCAGAAAATACCTGGAATGGGTGAGTTTGACAGTGTATGTTTTTTTCCACTGAATTTAGATGAGTAAAGCTGTCTTGCTTGAAATTTAGATGATTCTGGGTGGTCTCGACATGGCAGATGAGCAGATGATGTTTCTCCTTATGGGCAATGAGGGGTCACTGTTTCTAAATAAGGGCTCACCCACTTCAAACTGAAATTAGCTGAAGTCTTTTTTCACACAGAGGTTTATGAGTCTTTGAAATCACTTTCTCATAAGGGGCGGAAACAGCCTTTGAATTTTTTAAAGACAGATAGATTCTTGATATGCAACAGGGTAAATTATTAGCAGAGGTAGGAATTTGAGATTCCAAGCAGATCAATAATGATTTTATTAAATGGTGGTAACACAGCGTGCAGCTACAGGAACACAGCAGGCCAGGCAGCATCAGAGGAGCAGGAAAGGTAACGTTTCGGGTCAGGACCCTTCTTCAGAAACGGGGGAGGGAAAGGGAGCTCTGAAATAAATAAAGAGAGGAGGGTTGGGGCTGGGGAAATTAGGTAGGATGGTGATAGGTGAGTGCAGGTAGGAAGTGGTGGGGATTGGTCAGTGAGGTGTGAGGAGTGGATAGGTGACAGAGAAGATGGATAGGTCAAGGAGGCAGGGATGAGATGGAGGGTTGGTCATGGGATGAAGCCGATGCTGGGGAGATTTTGAAATTAGTAAAGTCCATATTGAGACCATATTAAATGGTGGGCCAGGTGTGAGA